AGAAAAAAAAGATAGGAAATAAGGGAGGAGGTATAACTTGGCTTCTTATGGCATACAAAGTCAAAGAAGCAAAACCGGAAGCAAGATCCAGAGTTCTTACCTCTACAACTTCTCCCCCCATCTACTTTGACCTTTTCCAAGAGTTGGCCACTGGAAGCCTTTGGAGGGATGCTTCTGGTAGGGGAATGAGTACCAAAAGATGAAAAGGCGAGGAGGTGCAGGAAAATATATTATTTGTGAGAAGAAAAGAAAGCCCCCAGCAGACACAGTAGGATAGCTCTTCGGTGCCATGTATAGGGCTACAGACTGAAAGAAAGGTCCAGGCTCTGGGGTGCCTGGGTGACTCAGTCATTAAGCGTGGGCATTCGGCTCTGGTCATGATCCCAAGGTCCTGGAATCAAGCCCCGCATCAGGCTCCCTGCTCAGGGGGAAGCCTGCTTCTCCCTCTCCCACTCCCCCTGCGTGTGTTTCCTCTCTCACTGTCTCTCTGTCAAGTAAATAAATAAAATCTTAAAAAACAAAAACAAAAACAGATCCAGGCTCTGAAGTTCAGGGTGAAAAAACTCAGTTAAAACTTTAAACAAAAACTTTTAACATGCTCTACTCTCTGTTTTTAATCAACCTCCAAATGATTCTTTCCTCCAGTTTCTTGGCACCTGTATTTGAATTCAGCCTTGCAAAAGAAAACCCTAAATATTTTCCACGCTCTGCAGCACCTCTAGGAGGTAAGAAGTGTAGTTGACCTGTAGAGTCCTTCAGAACTGGAAATGAAATATGGTTCCTCCTTTGAGATTTTCCAAATAACCTGCGATATGTTTGCATGAAGCCATCTCAAGGCTCATTTCCTCCCCCTGGTGGCCAACGAAGTACATTTTCATGCTGTCTGACCAGGGTTTGGTTGGCTTTGTCTGGCTTGGAAGATCCAAGATCAAAGCCACACTAAAATGGAAGGAAACTTCAGCTGCCTCTTAGCAAGGATTTAACGTCACATCTCTGGGGGTGTCTGGGTGGCCCATTCGCTTAAGCATCCGATTCTTTTTTTTTTTTTTTTCCTAAGTAGGCTCTACACCCAGTGTGGGGCCAAACACGGGGCTTGAACACATGACCCTGAGGTCAAGCCATGAGCTGAGATCTAAGAATCAGATGCTTCGCTGTGGGGTGGCTCAGTTGGTTGAGCGTCTGACTCTTGATCTCAGCTCAGGTCTTGATTTCAGGGTTGTGAGTTCAGGTCCCACATTGTGCCCCACATTGGGCATGGAATCTATTTTTTAAATCAATCAATCAATCAATCAATCAATCAATGTCACTTCTCTGACTGCAGAGACCCTTGGACAGGGTATGTGTATGGCTCGGGATGCTGGCAGCCCCTGTTTCACTCTTTTGTATTCTCCTTAGGCTTTGTCCTTAAAATTTAGTGCCTCTCCTCCTCTGATTCCTCAAGGCTGCAAGATCACTTTTGACAATGAAATTTTTGGGCAGGAGAGTAGTTGGGGGCCCCCAGGTTAGCAGGGAGTGGCTGCTAAGACTAGCAAAGAGAAGGCTGGTGGAGTCAGAGGAGACCTGAGAGGTTCTGGGGCAAGCAGCTTTCGCTTTAACTCATTGCCACTTGGGGGCCAGAGAGGTGTTAAAGGAGGACAGCTCAAACCAGGGGTCCATAAGGCTGGGCCTCTGTCCTGAAGGAGAGAAGTGATCCGGGCATACAAAAATATTCCCTCTCTCTTAATGCTACTGTAAGGAAAGGGATAGCACCAGGACAGCTGTCGCTTGGCTCCAGGATCAGGGAGACCATCGGGATGGAACTGGGGCAGACTGGAAAGTACCCAAAGAAGGAGCCATGACTTGGCTCTGTGGATTGCTGGCATGAAGCAATGGGGTCCTACTTTCCCAAAAGAAGTGGAAGTCTGGATTTTTATGAGAAATCTACATTGTCTAGTTGCTGGCAACGACTTCTGTTTAAAACTACAAGGACGCGCGGTGGTGGGCTAAGTGAACATTTCTGCGGACTAACTCCCGCAATCCCCCAGCCCCCCAACTCCCACCCCAGCAAACCTGGAGCAAGATAGTCCCTGTCAGGAGCCTTTGAGAGAGGTCAGCGGGGATTTAGCGTTGGGAATGGAACAGGAACGAGAGGACTGGGGGAAGAGAAAGCTAGGGGGCCAAAAGCAAAGCCAAAAGAGATGCACGTGGCATTGACTGCTCACTACCGTCTTGTGCCCGGCTTGGGTACCATTCATGTGGATCTCATGTCATGGACAGCTTAGGATCCGGGGGAAGGTAGGTAAGTATGCTGCGGGGACCAGTTCCTTGAGAAGTACATGGGCTCAACTCCTTGGTCTCTGTGCCCGGGGCCCTCTCGTTGTGCAAGAGTCAACAGAATCTGATCCTTTTCCTGTTGTTGTTTTTCTCTTTGAAGCAGATAAACAGCAGCAGCCATGACTTGTTCTTACCACTTGGGCAGCGACTCAAGAAAGAGCAGAGACAACTCGCAACTCCAGAGGCCAAATTCAGGGTCAGTTTTCTCTCCTTCCATTAACATTAACCTTTGGGTAAATGGAGCCACTCCTCCAGGGCTTGGTAAACAGAAACCACTTGTGGAGGGCTAGGGGAGTAGAAGTGGCCGTTTACCTGGAATTGAAGGAGTAGCTCAAGGTCAAGATTTCAGGCACCTTTGTCCTCTTGAATGAGAATGTGCCTGGTCACTGGGAAAATGGACTCAAAAGGGCCAGGTGTTATTGGTTTGTTGTGCTGCATACAACTCTTTCTCCCCCTGCCTGGGTGTCACCATAAAGGGGGTTGGCTCTAAGTGGCAGCCCTCCTGAGCAAGAGAGAAACCCATGGTGATTCTTGGTTGCCCCTCCTCTTGGCGATGGTTGTGAACATTCAGTGTGACAGTGTACGGGGTAACTCTCTGAAAAACATAAAGAAGTACACTCACATAAAGGCTTTTGATTAAGTTATTTCTAGGTAGCCTCCAAGTTAGAGCCCTCCAGTCCCCAGCTTTGGTTTGGGAAAGGGGCAGAGATGCGTAAAAGGGTGCAGTAATGTTAAAAACATGGCACATAAAGTGTAAAATGTTGGCGAGAATTAGCAAGTGTGGGTGTGGAGGAAATGTGATTCCCATGAGATTGTGTGGACCTGCTGGGCCTGCTGTTATCACGTATGGTAGTAATCCTGACTGTTGGAGTCCCTCTGGGAAACAACATGGTGATATAAATAAGATAAATAGATAGATAGATAGATAGATAGATAGATAGATAAGGCCAGAAGCTATATAATTTTTACATTAATCTAGTAATCCTCATTCTAGATATTATCTTAGGTAAAATAATCCTCAAGAGGTAAAAGGCCTTCTATACATGAAAGTGTGCATTTCAGAGCTAGTACTATAATAGCAAAATTGGAAGCAACTTACATGGCCAACAATAGGGCAATGGTCGGTCAAATTCAGACACATTCCTTCAGTGCAGTGTTATTACACAGTCGTGCAACACTGGAAACATGTAAACTTTGTCACCACCAAAAGGATGTTTCTGATATGATATTAAGTGTGTGTGTGTGGAGGAAAGCAGATAAAAAATGTTTTTTATATTATTGTTATTATGTTACGATTATGGAAGAATAATCATGATTAGAAATTAAGAATCAGGGGCGCCTGGGTGGCTCAGTGGGTTAAGCCTTTGCCTTCACCTCAGGTCATGATCCCAGGGTCCTGGGATCGAGCCCCACATCTGGCTCTGTGCTCAGCAGGGAGCCTGCTTCCTCCTGACTACTTGTGATCTCTCTCTGTCAAATAAATAAATAAAATCTTTAAAAAAAAAAAAGAAATTAAGAATCAAAGAGAATATGCAAAAGGAGCAAAGTTGCTCTTCCAGGGTAGAAAAGCCACAGATGACTTCCCACCCTATCCTTTTCTAAACTCCCTTTGTTGTTTTATGATTTCATTGTAATAAATTATCATAAAGATATTACTATCTTTTTTTAAAAGCAAAGACTTGATGAGGGAAGAGCAGGTAGTAAGGGGCAAAGACATCCAAGGACAGAGGTTGCCATGGTGAGGAGGTTGGCAGGGTTTGGGAGGTAAAGAGGAGGAGGAGCCCCAGAAAGTTGGCTTTATGGTCATAGGAGCCTCAGATGTGAAGGAGATGGAGTAGTTCATTGGATCTGGGCTGTTCTGGGCTAGCCAAAGGCACACGAAGCATATTCCTAAGGATTACTGAAGCAGGGGCATTAAAAACCATGAAAAGAATTTGATATTTGAAATTTCAAGCAAAGGACAAAGAAGTCATCGTGGGAATGGGGGAGGGACAAGAACTTTGCTGGACCTCCTTATTGGTATTTTGCCATCTGGTCTTGTTCTTGTGTTGAATCACATGGTGCGGGAGACACCTGTACCTTTGCTGTGTGTGAGATCTCTGAAGGTCTCCGTCTGGCCCTGGGCTTGAACTGTGTTCAGTCAGCTACGCATTGACCTTGAACTCCATGAGTGACCGTTGTCTTCACCATCAGCAGCAGGCTAGGCGTGGGAGGTTCCGTGTAGTGAAGAAACAGTTAACAGACCTCCTCAGAGCACCCCATCTGCACCCCGTGGGACTCACTCCCTCAGTTGGGAAGGCTTAGGGCTTGGTTCTGAGGCCGTCTCCAGACACTCACTCACTTTAATAAGATTGTTTACCAGCTGGTGCCATGCATAGCATCTCAGCCTGCTCCTGAAAATCCCAGGAGGGCAAAAGCCAAAGCCAGGGTTGGCTGAGTGAGTCCCCAAGGTCAGCGTCCCCAAAGGCAAAAGGTGGAATCAGCTCTCTCCCTGAGCTTGTACCAGCCCTGGAGGTGGGGTGGCATTTTCTAAAGGGTGATGGTGCCTGGTCCCGGACTGGGTCTACCACCCACATGAGCAAGGGAGGGGGTCCCCCTGCAGGCAGATCCGAGTAACTGCTGCTCCCTCTGCTCTCTCCCCAGGGTGCCGGGGGATTTCCCCAGAGCCGCCTCCCAGCCTGGGGAGATACTCCAGTGCCTGCCTTTGGAAGGCGAAGAAGGGGCAGACTGGGAAGAGCGGGAGGACAGTTCCCAAGAAGATCCGAAAGAAAGCGTCACCCTGGCTTTCGTGAGCGAGAATGCTGGGGGGCAAGAGGGGCTTCAGAACGCTCAGCAGCAAGGCAAGAAGAGGAAGAAAAAGAGGTTAGGATTGAAAGATGAGAATGGGGATCTGTGTTGTTGGGAGCAGAAGGGACCTGGAGGGGAGGGGACTTTGGCCACTGATGAGAGGCTAAAGAGATGTGTCCTGGGGTCTTCAAAATCACACCCCCTTCAGTTCTTGTGAGAAGAATCTACCTGGTGATCGGTTTGATTAATTGATTGATTGTTCAAAGATTTTATTTATTTATTTGTCAGAGAGAGCACAAACAGGGGTAGTGGCAGGCAGAGGGAGAAGCAGATTCTCTGCTGAGCATGGAACGCCCCCCCCCCACCCCCTCCCCCGCTCCCCAGTGCAGGATCCATCCCAGGACCTTGGGATCATGACCTGAGCCGAAGGCAGACACTTAACTGCCTGAGCCCCCCAGGCGCCTCAATGATCTGTTTTATAGAATCAAATATGATCTGTGTAATCTCAAACCACACCTTGTTCTAATCTTCATTCTATTTGTGTTTAGAATGCTTGCTTTTTTTAAAAATTGTGTGGGGAAAGATAATTTCCTTGTTTTAAGGAAGTGCTTATTGTCCTGGGAACTTAGTACATTTTATTTTATTTAAGATTTTATTTATTTATTTATTTGAGAGAGAGAATGAGAGAGAAAGAGAGCATGAGAGGGGGGAAGGTCAGAGGTAGAAGCAGACTCCCCACCCAGCAGGGAGCCCAGGACTCCGGGATCACGACCTGAGCCAAAGGCAGCCGCTCAACCAACTGAGCCACTCGGGTGCCCAACTTAGTACATTTTAAAAATAATGAAACTGATGCTGACTTCTTAGGATTTGCCTGTGGCTTCTGCATTCTGGTTCCTATTTACTATTCCATTACATTCAGGGACATGTCTCCATTCGGGGACAACGAGTCACTCCTCAGATTCACTGATACTAGAAAGCTCGTCCTCCCCCTTTCTTTCTTTCTTCCTTCCTTTCCTTCTTTCTTTCTTTCCTTCCTTCAAGATTTTATTCATTTATTTGACAGAGAGAGACACAGTGATAGAGGGAACACAAGCAGGGGAGCAGCTGAGGGAGAGGGAGAAGCAGGCTTCCTGCTGAGCGGAGAGCCGGATGGGGGACTCGATGCCAGGATCCTGGGATCATGGCCTGAGCTGAAGACAGACACTTACCGACTGAGCCACCCAGGCGTCCCTCGTCCACTAACTCACCACTTCCCTTAGTGGGGGGCAAGAAGAGGGAGACCATGAAGTAATTTGGTCCAAAAGATTTTCGCTTCCTGTTCCTGACGGGCCGCTGGAGTAAAAGGATTGAGGAGGTGATAATGTTCATATAAAGTGGAAGCAGAATTAGTTACAACCGCAATACAGAATTTCTGCCTCTGTGGGCAGGGTCCGGGTACAGTCCGTGTCTTCTGCCCCTCTGCCACACCTGGGATCCGTGTCTTCAGTCGCGGGGGTAGTCAGACCAGGCTTCGTGTGGCAGGATGGGTCTCATGCAGCCCTGCCTGCGATCGGAGGCTTCTGGGTATGGTCGCCTATTCTGGCAAACGTGTCTGTCTCTGTCTTGCTTTCCTTTTTCTCTTTTCCAGATGATTGGTGATCAATCTCTCCACCTGCCGGTATGAGAGCGGTGAGCACCTGTGTTCCAGGGATCCACGACGGGGACCCAGTGGATTACCCCAAAGGGTTGGGAAGGGTCATTCTTGTGTATTCTTGAGGATGAAATGGGGGTGTTTCTACATCCCGTTGTCTCCATCCTCAATTAACTATTTGAGGAAGTTGGGGATCTTATTCCAAGGAAATACGGGGTTTGGCCCCAGTGGTGTGTATTTCAGCTCTCTATAGCTCCTCTCCAGGGTGATTTGGGAATCTGATTGTAGAGAAGGCAGTTGTTGCTTCTTGTTAGAGCACGAGTTAGAGACTGGCAGTCCACAGACCGAAGACGACCTACAGACCTATACTGAGTTGTGGAACAGAGTAGTCATTCTGCCTATTTCAAGTTTGAATGTTTTAGGCTGGTGCTGACTCCCCTGGGTCACTGGCACTTCTTCTCTCCCAGGCCCTTGAAGGCATTTGAATTGTGTTACCAATGCTAACAGGGACAGGGGAAGAAGGACGCGATAGCATATATGTGATTTTGAAATGCATCGTATACTTTTTTTTTTTTTCCTGTCAGTTTTCCTTCCTAATTAAGCTTGGCTCTGACTGATGTTAAGGATTAGTTTATATTCCCTGAACATTCTGTGCTTGGTGTTTGGAGGAGAGCCAGAAGCCTACTTCCTGGCAAGGGGAAACCAGGGCGGGTAAAACATTCTTCCCAGAGAGACTTCTGTGGGGCTCACTGGGTGTTGGCCGAATGCCTCAATGGCTCTTCTTGTTCCTTTCTTGGCAATGGTGCATTCAGACGAGGCAAGATGGCTTCTAGGCTCAACGAGTTAAGGCGTCTCTCTCCAGCACACCGTCTGAGAGATACGAGAAACATAACCTCCCTACCCCATGCTCCTCCCCCACTCCCTGGGCTAACAGGCCTTCCTCTTTCCAACTCCATGGCAGTGCGCAGGGCCGCCCAGCGGTATGGCCTTCGAGAAGGAGGGGAGACCAATGACTGGACTCTCTACTGGACGGACTACTCGGTGTCGCTGGAGAGGGTGATGGAAATGAAAAGTTACCAGGTATTATCCGGGGCAGAGCCGGTCCTCAGGATAAGTCTGGTGTCTACCCAGTGGGCCCCCAATTTTAGGACTGTACCCTGAGGGCACCTCATGGGTACTCCCATGGGCGCCATTGTTCATGAATTCTGGCTTCCTTTGCAGAAAATCAATCACTTCCCAGGGATGAGTGAAATCTGCCGCAAGGACTTGCTGGCCAGGAATATGAGCCGTATGTTGAAGCTGTTCCCTAAGGATTTCCACTTTTTCCCTAGGACCTGGTGTCTTCCTGCCGAGTGAGCGCCCACCTGTGTTCCCTTCCACACTACCCACCCCCAATTTACGTTTCCCTCTTGTTCCAGATTCCCCAGTGCTGCTTTCTCTTCCCAAAGGATCTCCTGTCTCTCTCCTTTTCAGGAAGAGAAGGCATAAAGGGTGTGTCCAAGGTTGAGAGAACAGAACACAAGGCTCTGCTATAAAAAATGAGATGAGATTTCAGGGCTGGGTGCCTTGGATCCTGCACCTGCAGTTGGGATGAGAATTTGTTCTGACCCTGAAAGCTGTTGATTTTGAACTTGTTCCAACCTTTCAACTGCGCAGGTTCTGAATTTTTAAGGACTGTGAGCACTTCCGGAGGGAGTGGGATAGTGGTTAGTGCCCAGATTAGGAGCAGGGAGGGACGCCTGACCTCTGGTCCCTGGCAGGATCATGAACGGCAGCCAGCCTTTCCCTGTCTCCTTTCTCACTTTATCCATCTTAAAATCGGGCATCTAGGCTTTAGTACAGAAGATGCTCTGGGCCCCACCACCAAGAAACAGAGCAAAGGTGAGATGACACAAATGTGACCCGGGTCTGGTCTTCAGGATACGGACAAAGGGGCAGAAAGGCATTGCCACTAGAATTCTTTTCACATGGTGAGAATCCCACTCTGTCCTCTATGTCCAGTACTTTTCCAAACCAAGAACTCCAGGACCCCCAGACTTCCCTAGCTTGTCCAGAACAACTTTTAAGACTTAGTAGCAACTTAGAAGGAAACATGTTTGCCTTCAGACCAACGGGCACCTCCAGATTTTAGTGGCCACTGAGGAACACTGCCATGAAGTGACTCCGCCAGTGGTCACCATGCCGAAGAGTTGCAGTGCAAGACAAGAAGTGTAGCAAGACTGAGATTCAGAATGCATTAAGTTGGTTTCTTTCTTCTGAAGATAGTTTCTTCAGGGTGTGTTCAAGGAGAGTGAGTAGTTGTGCTCTGATACTCTGGCTGGAGTGGAGATATTCCCTGGAAAGAGCTGAAGCCTAGAGCAGGGGAGGAGACTGGTTGATCCAAGGTCACACAACCTGTCCGGGCTGAACTCCACATCTCCCATCTGCAAACCCAGAAAGCCAAAATCCTTGGGTCACAGCTACCTTCATGGTGCATGTCACATGTATCAGCAATCTTGCCTGCATTCTGTCACATGATTAACCTCCAGACAAGACAGGTGTCCTCATCCTCAGTGTGTAGATGATGGAAGTGAGGCTTAAAGAGGTCAAGTCCTTCCTTGCACAGGGTTACACGGCTGGTGAGTGGCATCACCTGGGTTTAAATCCAGGCCTGAGTTTCCTCCAAAGCCCACCCTCTCTCCGCCATGTGTGTGCATGCGTGGCTGTCTCTTCTATTGCCAGATCTCCCGACATGTGTCTGTCGACTCTAGAGTTTTGCCGCATTAGATAGCTTTAGTGGTTTTTTTGTTGTTGTTGTTACTGTTTTTGTTTTTTTGGTTTTAATAAAGACCTAGTGTTCCTTTTCACTGCTCCCCCCGCTAAAGGTGTCTCTCATTCCCTCCCTGCTGCTCTGGTAGCTGGGGAGATTTGCAGAACTACAGCAGGTCAAGAAAAAATAAGACATTCATTTGTAAGCCCGATTCGGGCAGTCAAGGGAGAGGTATATTCATTACCCGGACGGTGAAAGACATCAAGCCAGGCGAGGATATGATCTGTCAACTCTATATTTCAAAGGTACTTCTTCATGGTGATCATTTCTCTCTCGCCCACAGCAACCTTCTAGCTCTGCCACACCATGGGAAATGAGGCAGGTGACGGGGGCAAAACCATGTCCTCTCTTCATTCAACCAGGCCTTCTAACAGGGATGTGACATGTGTCTGGCCCAGAGCATCAGTCACCCTTGTACCCTTGTAGCTGGTCTGGCCTTAACTTGGCTGGGCCCATCGCCTCTAGCAGATGACACCTGGAGGACACTGTTGGTCTGTGGATGCCCAACTTCATTTGGGGGAAGGCAGTAGTCCTGGAGGGATCATGGTAACCGGGTTTGCTCTGTGGCTGGAGGTCAGAGGTCATAGTGGCAGAGCCCACCGCAGGGAGGGAGCCCTCTGGAAGTGTGCATGGACTGGGAAGGGCTGGTTAGCTCTGCAGGAGCGCTCTCTTGCCGAACTGCCATGTAACACAGCCCTAGATGGTGACAACATGTCCTTCATCACGGGACTTTTAATTTTTTTAAAAAAGATTTTATTTATTTATTTGAGAGAAAGAGAGAGAGTAGGGGGAGCAGCAGAGGGAGAGGGAGAAGCAGGATCCTCGCTGAGTAGAAAGCCCAAGGCAGGGCTTGATCCCAGGACCCTGGCATCATGACCTGAGCCGAAGGCAGACACTTCACCCACTGAGCCACCCAGGTGCCCCATCAAAGAACTTTTTAATGTTACTTTGCTTGGTTGCCCAGAGATCTCTGGGAGATGGTTACTTGTGCTGTAGGAAACCGAGGCACACTGGGGTTTAGTGAATCCCACAGGTCAAGTCCCCTTGTCTTCCTCCCTGACCCCAGCCCAGACCTCACTCTGTAGTACCAGGCAAAACCAAGCCAAGGTACTAATCTTCAAGTCTGAATCTCTCCTCTGAGGCTTCCGTGACTTCTCTTCCCTCCTCGCAGCCCTTTATCATTGATGGGTTCAAGTTCGACCTGCGGATTTATGTGCTGATGACCTCCTGTGACCCTCTCAGGATTTTTGTGTATAACGAAGGACTAGCACGCTTCGCCACCACCTCCTACTGCCACCCCAGCCCAGACAACGTGGTGAGCTCCAGGGACAGGCCCTGCCCCCTCTTCCTTAGCGGGATGAAAAATCCCACTTCAGTCTACATTCTCCAGGCACTGACGATGTGGCCGTCATTTGTTGGACACTTACTATGTGCCAGGTTGTGGACGTCCAGATATCCCTTAGCCCTCTCAGGAGCCCTCAGAAACAGATTTTGATCTGCATTTTACAGATGAGGAAATGAAGACTCATTTTCATTTCCTCATGAAAACTTAAAAAAGAGTTTAAGGAACTTGTCCAAGGTCACAGAATTGGGAAGAGACGAGGCTGCGACTCGTGGCCAGATCTCCCTTCTGCAAAGCCAGTGCCCCAGATCTCTGATGCGTGAGGAGAGAAGGTCATGGGCGAGCCCCCATCTCTCCCCCACTCCCATCCTTCACTCTTTGACCCCCCAGGATTCCTGAAATGTCCCTCAGGCAGTGAACCACCCAATCGTGGGAGAATCTAGACTTCTACCCCAGGCTGAAGGCTACCATATTACTTCCTGTTTTACCAGTTTAAGCCCCAAGGTGGTCCCTCTCTTTTCCTTCTCTTTAAGCCCCAGCAGCCACAGGGGAGGGCACAGAGAAGAAGCAGGAGGCCTCCCCTACCTCCTGATGACACAGACTTGTGTCTCTTTCCCCAGGATGATATCTGCATGCACCTGACTAATTATTCCATTAATAAGCACAGTTCCAATTTCATTCAAGATGCTCACACTGGAAGCAAGAGGTAAGGAGGCTGCCTCACTTCTGTCTTCTTGCCCTGCCACACTCAGAGCTCAGATCCTGCCCATCCGTCTGTCCACATTAGTGTTTCCATCTTGGGTCACCTGGGCTCAGCAAATATTCCTTTGCCTCCTTATTCTCTGCCCTCTGGCTGTTAATCATTAAAAGAAGGCTACATCGTAAACCTAGGAGGTTGGGAGGAGGAGAGATAAACATCCCTAGCTGGACACACACACACACACTCACCACATACACACCAAAACATGCACTTATTATACCGGGCCCTTCTGACATTTCCAAACCAATAGATATTTATCCATTGCTAGTTGGCCAAGGGAGAGGGACATGTCAAGCCATTGTTCCTTTGGCCAGTGGTTTCCCAGGGTGATGCTCCAACAGAGATTCTCAAGTGATAGGTCATGATGCCTGCTGTGGCCTGACCGTGGCTGGCTGGCTTTGAGATTCCCCAGAAGGAGGGAAAGGCGAGGAGTGCGTGAGTGTCTTCCCAGTTATCACTTTCACGTTGTCGTCTGATCCTGTCTCATTCAACTTTTAGGAAAAAGGGGGGACTGGAGGAAGTGAACATGGGCCAGGCCTGAGGGGAAGGCAAGGCAGTATGTACTAAGGCCTCCTGTGTTGGGGGGCATGTGCTGGGGGCTCTGTGCACATTTTTTCCCCATTGCATCTTCTCTCTGCTATGACCGAGGCATCATAATCGGCTCTTTTTAGGTGCAGAATCATGAGTTAGGTACCATCTCCATTTTACAGACAAGGAAACTGAGTCTCTGAGAGGTTAAGCTGCCCAAGGTCACATGGTCGTAAATTCTAGAGCCGGGTGAGAAGGTAGGTCTGTCGGATTGCAAGGTGCGGCTCCGTCCCCTGCCCCGGGCTTCAAGGGCCTGGTAAACACACAGTCTGTTTGGCTCAAAGCATCAGAGAGGCACATGAAATTTCACAACTCCCCTGGTGGCAGAGTTCCAAAAAGCAAATGGAAAATGGCCAGCTGAAACCTGCTTGGAGGGGCAGTCTCCCCTGTTTCAGAGGGTGCCTGAAGCTGTCCCCCCTCCTTGGCTCCCCACCTGGACCCTGGACACCAGCTCAGCTGAGAGTCAGTACTCAATGAGGCCTGGCTCTCAGGCCTGGCCCTGACTCTCACCAGCAGGACACGTGTGGGTCCGTGTCTTCCTCTCTCTGAGCCCCCGCTTCTTCACCGCCACCCCCCAGGGTCACTGTGAGGCTCAGATGACCCGTGATGGCTGCAGGGACACTGCTGGTGTTTACTGTGATTTTTCCTTGGTCGGAAGGCATGTAACCTAAGGGCCCCTGTTTCCCCTCCTCTTATGAGAAGACCTTCCAGCGACAGGCTTTGGACTCTCAGGCCACGATGGAGGGGGTATTAGGGTACCAGGGCTCAGGGGAGAGTATGCAGTATTGTTCTGTGACACCCACCCCCTTCCTCCTCTTTTCCCTCACCTCTCCCCCCTCCCCACCAGGCAAGGCCTTGCCCCTCTGCTCCACTCCCCTAGCCTCCACGCTGCCCCTTCTCCCTGAGCTCCAGGCTCATCCCTCCTCAGTGCACCCCGACAACTGTTGCCCCCAACTCAGCGTTTTCTTGCTCCTTGCTCCCAGCCCAGCCTTCCAAACTGGCTCCCCTTCTCTGCCTCCCGACCAGCAAGGTTAGAGAGTTTGATGTCATCTCCGTAGTTGAATCCTGAACATTCCTCCTGCAGATGTCCCCGTGTCCCTTCCTTTCCACCAGACCCAGGCCTCCCTTCAGCCTCAGACCTGACGGCAGCTTGGCCTCCTTGCCCTCCTCCCTAAATCCAGGCTTCGATCTCTCTGTGCCTCCATTTTCTCATCTCTAGAATGACAGAAATGTACAATCCTGGCTGGCCAGCCTCAGACATGCTGTTAAGGACCTATTGAGAGGACGTGTATGAATGACCTTCAGAAGCAAAAACCCCCACGTGGGGAGATGCTGTTAATACTCTGTAGTCCCTATTCTGTGTTTTGTATCACCGGCTAAGGTTAACTGAGGTCCGGGAATGGACGGTCTTCCTTCTGATGCATCGTCAGAAGGTCAATGGTAGCCTAATGCTACGTCACATGCCTGCGTCGTCCTCATTCATCTCACCAGATAGACGTCTCATCATCTCACATCATCCTCATAAGAAAGGCGAGTACAGCCCAGGAAGCTATTATGAGAGCCCAAGAGAGAGAGAGAGAGAGAGAGACGACATTCACATTACTTTCATTATGGTGTATTGTTGTAATTGTTTTATTTTTAGTTATTATTATGAATCGCTTACTCTGTCTCATTTACAATTTAACCTTTATTATAGTTGTGTATGTATAGGAAAAACCAGTACCTGTAGAGTTGGATACTAACCATGGATGGGTTCCGGCATCCTCTGGGGGTCTTAGAGCATACCTCCTCCGGGTAAGGGGGGATTTCTCTGCTACTTACTTCCATATCAGTGTGACTCCCGGATACCTAGAGGGTCAAGTCCAAACTCTTCTGCTCAATCTACTGTAATGTGACCAGACACCACTTTCCATTGATGTCCTGCTACACTGGTAGTGAGCTTTCTATTTGTTGAGGGCTTGCTAGGTGCCAGGCACTGTTCTAAGAAATACACACACCTCAGCCCCTCTAATCCTCATAACGACACTCTAAGAATTATCATCAGCACGGTTTTGCATATTAGAATTCTGTGGCATAAAGGGTTAAGTAACTTGCCCAAGGTCCCACAGCCAGGAGGTGATACAACCGCCATGAAAACGCCCGAGTGTCTGCCCTTCACCACTAGGGCGCGCTGTCTGTCCGTCCCCTCCGTGGTGATCTGCCAGGACACTCTGGCTCCCATTCCGTATATAGGCCTTGCCCATTCCCACTTCTCCATCTTTGCTCAGCTCCAACAGAAAACATGAGAGAACATCCTTGAAGGCCCTTCTGGCTTGCTAGGCTTCCACGTTGCCTTCTCTGATCTGGCTGTAGGTCCTGGTCCAGCCACAGAGCTGCTGTGCAGCCCATCTTCTCCGTGAGTCTCTGCTCTCTTGATAATCAGATGAGAGAACTGGGGGTCCATCTCTGAGGACGAGCCCGTGGATCTGAGTCAAACCACCCGCAGAAACCTTCCCATCTCAGGACTCCCACCACGCTCTGGTCAACATCGACCATAGCCCATAACTGCTTTGGCTTGGTGCACACGTTTTCATGTGTTCTCCATTGTGCTTAAGCTCCCTGAGGGTTAGAGTGGCTTCCTGGCCTTCTGGGCACCTCCCATAGGACGGGCAGAGTCCTCCTTTTCTTCTGTGCCTCCCTTTTCTCTTCACCTTTCCTCCTCTTCTTCTTCTTCTTTTTTTTTAAGATTTTATTAGTTTATTTGACAGAGAGAGAGATCACAAGTAGTCGGAGAGGCAGGCAGAGAGAGGGGGGGAAACAGGCTCCCTGCTGAGCAGAGAGCTTGACATGGGGCTCGATCCCAGGACCCTGAGACCATGACCTGAGCCGAAGGCAGAGGATTAACCCACTAAGCCACCCAGGCGCCCCTCACCTTTCCTCTCTTCTTCCCCATCTTCTGAGGCGATCTGCTTCTCATGTTGACTGTCTCACCTGTCCCCAGTACCCCCGTCCCCAGCAGGAGGCCAACTGCGCCCCCCAGTAGATCCCCTCCCCACCAGTCGTGCACTCAGCAGGAACAGTGAAGGGAAGACAGAACAACTGGAAATCTGGGAGGGCTTGGGGGTCAGAGACCAGGTCCTCTGCATCTTCCGGGGTGCCTGGCACATAGCTGATGTGTTCAATTGAATTGGCTAACCATGGAGCATTAGGAGATTATACAGTAATGTACGCTCATTGTGATGTGCCTGAGTCATCAAGAAGAGGTTATGTTATGATTTGCAGTGTCTGTTATATGAAGGCAGGGAAGTGTATAATCTATTTTGGGAAAATTTATTTCCCAATTAGGCAAATTAAATACATTTTTATTTTGCACTTGAATGGCTTGGCTTCAAGCGATCTGGAAAATTCATTTATGTGCCACACTTCCCTGGCACTGGCAAGTAGAGGCAGTGGGCCTCTGTATCGAGTGGCCTTTGCTAATGTGTCTTTATATAAATGCAACCTTGGTTGTTTCCTATGTGAGTTGACCCCCCCACCAATGGTCCTTAGGCTTCCCATGACCTTGGGGGTGGTTTCTTGGGGTTCTCTCATTTCCCGAGCTTTGCATGGACAGCAGGCCCTCAGCCAGTGTACACTCCTGTTTCCTCCTTTTTGGATCCACTGGCTGGGGTCCAGTGAGCTCTTTGAACAACCTTGTGAGCCATGTCTCTGGTCTTAGTCTCTCCTCTTTACTCTTCATGCCCCTGCCTCTCTTGCTCTCACTTTCTCACTTCCCATTTCAACTCTCTGTGCGCATGCGCGTGCTTATGAGCGGGGGTGTGTCTGTGTCCCCACCCTTGTCTCTTAGACCCTCAGCTTTGCCTCTTTTCTGTAGTGCCCAGCTCAGAGCTGACCAGAGCAACACTTCAGATGTTTCCTCATGAACCGTAGACATCCTCCGATCTCTGTACTAGGGTGACAAGCCACCTCAGTTTGCCTCTGCCTGAGGGGTTTCCCATGATGTGACTTTCAGTTCTTTTTTTTTTAATTTATTATTTTTAAAAATTTTAGTTTATTTAAATCCCAGTAATTAAAGTATACTGTATCATCAGTTTCAGAGGTAGAGGTCAGCAACTCATTGTTGCATGTAACACCCAGTGCTCATTCCATCCTGTGCCCTCCTTAATACCTGTCACCCAGTTACCCCATCCCCCTACCCACATCCCCTCCAGCAACCCTCAGTTTATTTCCTGTAGTTAAGAGTCTCTTACGGTTTGCCTCCCTCTCTGATTTTGTTTTATTTTATTTTTCCTTTCCTTTCCCTATTTTTTGTTTTGTTTCTTAAATTCCCTCTGTTTTGTTTCTCAAATTCCACCTATGAGTGAGATCATAGGATAATTGTCTTTCTCTGATTGGCTTATTTTGCTTAGCATAATACCCTCTAGTTCCATCCACGTGGTTACACATGGTAAGATTCCATGTTTTGGGTGGCTGCGTCATATTCCATTGAAGATACACACCACATCTTCTTTATCTAAACAATTGGGACCATCCTGGTTTGCTGGGACAGTTGGTAACCCTATCTGTGGAAATGCCCCGGGGCTGCCTTTTCTCTGCGAATAGTCCTCAAGCAAAGTCTCCGTGTCTTTGGTGCCCCCCAGAATCCCATCAGATGGCTGGGGGGGACCCAGGGATTGGTGTTCTTAAAAGGCTCCCTGCCAGTTTCTAATGACCACCAAAGGTTGCAAAAATATTTGCCATCAAAACAAAACCATGATGTAGCGTGGTTTTTTTTTTTTAATATTTTTAATTCACCCATCCATTAAGCTTTCCACCTCGAATACCCAGTTCCTGCCCCAGCCTCCCAGGTATTTTCCAGGTCACAGGGACAGTGCCCAAGCCAGGTCTTCTGTGTCATTATCTGCACCCACTTTTGGGCTATAGAGGTTTCTGAAGGCCCCTCTTGAGCTGACATAGCCCTACTTGTCACCCTGGGTCTTGGGCGTCTGTCCCCATTACCTCTGGGGTCTTAACTTCTCCAGAAGTTTCTGGTTTCCAGCAGGAGATGGCCTCAGATGACTAGAAGGTGGGCTGCCTTGCCTCACGGCCTGTGGTTTCCTTCCAGGAAGCTCTCCACCTTCAACGTGTACATGGAGACCCATGGCTACAACATGGAGCAGATCTGGAGAGACATGGAGGACATCATCATCAAGACGATCATCTCCGCCCACCCCATCATCAAGCATAACTACCACACCTGCTTCCCCAACCACACCCTCAACAGCGCCTGCTTTGAAATCCTGGGCTTTGACATTTTGTTGGACCACAAACTCAAGCCCTGGCTGCTGGAGGTAGAGGAGTTGGGGTGAGGGGTGAAAATTGGCTGCTGTTCCTGGGGGTCAGCCGGGGTCAGGCTCATGCCTTCATCCCTGGTTCAGCCAGTCATTTTAATCAACTTCCTGGCCAGGCCCGTTCATCCAGTGGTTCTGGCTGCCTGGGGCTTCTCTCTGAGCTAAGAAGTGGCCACCAGAGGGGGGTAGATGGCCGGAATTAGAGAGCTCCTCGTGCCCTCTTGAGGTCTACCCAGACCTGGAAACTTTGATCTCAGGCACAGAAAGACTCTAGAGAAAACAAGAAAGACTCTAGGGACAACTTGATTTTTTTGTCACAGAATCATCTCCCAGAAAGGGGGTGTTCTTCCTCAAAGCTGGGTGGTAGTGTTTAAGATCATACAGGAACAGCCAGTCCTGGATCTCAGGGGCTTGGGCCACTCGGGTCCTGGTGTCTATGGCCAAGGGAATGAGTGGGGAACCACTCAGTGAGTTTCCTGCCTCCCCCAGACCCATGGCAGAGTGGTTGGAGGAGGAAGAGAAGCATCTGGGTGACTGTATCTCTTCCCCATTACACCTGAGTTCTGCAGCCCTCAAGGGGCCCGTCAGTCTGCATTATAGGAGATGGGGGTTGGCCGAGGCGGGTGCCAAGTCCCAGGGGCTAGGGCCGGTTGGCACAGAGTCAGAGTCTTTAGAGGGCAGAGCCTGAATCATGTGTCCCCTTCCTGGGGCCTTGCCTTGCCTCCATTCCCAGCCTTTGTTCCCAGATATAGGTAGGAAGGAGAATATGGCTGTTTGGAGCTCCTACCCAAAGAGTGGAATTGGCCCCGGGGCACAGGCCTTCAGAAACCACTAAAAACCTTCAAATGTTACAGAATGCGTCTGAATGATCTGGTCTTTTCCGTGAGCAGGAACAAGGCCTCTCCCTCCTCCCACCTGCCTCTCCCTCAGTCCTGGTGAGGGTCCCGAAGACATCAGTCTGGTTTCTTCCCCACCTCCCAGGCCGGTCCTTTAGACAGCACCCTTACCTCTGCTCAAGGCCTTGCCATGTACGTGGGCAAGCACATCCACCAGGTGCAGGAAAACCAGACACAGTGGCCCTGATGCTTCCAAGAGGAAAGGACCGAAATCAAAGCTGGTTAAACTAGGGGAGGTTCTGCTTCCTCCTCTTCTCACCGTGCCTCCGGGGCAGACTCCCTCTTCCTCTTCCTACCCCCGCCCTTGGTAGCCAAGGCCCCATGCTGGGCTTAGGGAGCTCCCTGGAGGGGGCGTGTGGGCCTTGCTCCCTGCTTCCACACTGGACAGCCCGGCCCCCTGCTGCCCTCACAGGTTAACCACTCTCCGAGCTTCTCCACCGACTCCTGGCTAGATAAAGAGGTGAAAGACAGTCTGCTATATGACACCTTGGTCCTGATCAACCTCGGAAACTGTGACAAAAAGAAAGTCTTGGAGGAGGAGAGACAACGGGGGCGATTCCGGCAGCACTGTCGTTCTCGAGAGACCAGGTACAGAGGTGACCCCTCACCCTGGGGACCCCATTCTCTATGACTTTCTTGCTCCCAGTAAGACTGAGGTATCCTGGTCCTCAGCAACCTACTAGTTATGTGGCCTGTACGTCTCTTCTCTGAGCCTCAGTGTTCTTTCTGTGAAATGGAGCCAGTGATCTATAAGGTGGAATTAAATGAGATAATGTGTAATAAAAGGTTCATCATAGTGTCTGGCACAATGGTGTGTATTAGAGGTGGTGAAAAGTCTTGCCTGGCAGAGGGGAGTGGGCAAAATGAGTGAAGGGGCTTAAGAGGTACAAACTTCCAGTTATAAAATAAGTCACGGGGGACGCCTGGGTGGCTCTGTGGGTTAAGCCACTGGCTTCGGCTCAGGTCATGATCCCAGAGTCCTGGGATCGAGTCCCGCATCGGGCTCCTTGCTCAGCGGGGAGCCTGCTTCTCTCTCCGCCTCTGCCTGCCTCTCTGCCTGCTTGTGTGCTTTCTCTCTCTCTCTTTCTGACAAATAAATAAAATCTTAAAAAAAAAGGAAAGTCACGGGGAGGTAATGTAGGGCATGGTGACTGTAGTTAGTAAGGCTGTTGCATATTTGAAAGTTGCTAAGATCTTAAAAGTTCTCATCACAAGAAAAAAACATTTTAAAAAAGATTTTGTTTATTTATTTGAGAGAGAAAGAGAGTATGAGCAGAGGGAGGGGCTGATGGAGAAGCAGGCTCCATGGTGAGCAGGGAACCTGACACGGGGCTCGATCCCAGAGCCCTGGGATCGTGACCTGAGCCGAAGGCAGATGCTTAATCTACTGAACCACCCAGGCACCCTGGAAAAAAACTTTGTTAACTGTGTGTGGCGACAGATGTTAAGTAGACTTATTGTGGTGTTCATTTCCCAATAAATACAAGTAGCGAATCGTGTTTGCACACCTGAGAAACTAACAGAATGTTCTATATCAATTATACTTCAATTTTAAAAAGTCATTATGTTTTTAAAAAAGAATCTTGCTTGGAGTTGGTGGGGAGTGGAGTCAGTTCTAAAAAATGATAATCCTATTTGGAAAATCAGTTTATTTTTGCAGAATGTGGCAACTTCTACAGTTTCACTGTGAGCCTTTTTTTTTTTTGGTACCTAAAAATAGGAGATTAAGTTGTAGACAGAACTATACATTATGGATATGAGTTTACTAATACAACAGGAAGATTCAGGGATTACCAATCAAAAAATAAAACTGTTGTTTTATTTTTATGGAAAGACACATGAGCCCTACTACCCACTCCCCCACCCCCTCACTCCCCACCCCCCATCCTCCCCACATCCCTGGGTTGGTGGGGGCGAGCGTGCCCAGCTCCCTGCCTGGCAGTATTTGCCTGTAAATAGGGGCCTTCATTCTGTGGGGTGATTCTAGTGTCTGAAGACTAAACCTGGCCGAGGACATGCCTTTGTTGCTTTTCAGATCCTACAGCAACTGCCATGCCCACATGAGCAGAGCCCACTGATTCTTGGGGCCAGAGTTTTGGGAACTGGGACAGTAGCCTCTGTGTTGGGAGGACACTGAGATTCTCCGAGCACTTTTGCCTGTGCTCTCCATCTTCCCTCCGAGGCGGGTTGGTAGCAGGGGCTCTTGTGTGCTCCTGTCACTGGAGCTAAGGAGACCTGGCTTCTGGAAGGGGAAATGACTTGTGTGCAAGGTCCCCTTGCTGGGAAGGGGCAGGTGTGGGGCCGGAGCGCAGCGAGTATGCTCTTTAGGATTCCAGAATGCCTTCCGCTGGGCCAGCTCTCTCCCCACTGCTCAAGGAGGAGGCAGCATCCATCCACCAGGGAGAAGCTGGGGCCCTCCCCTGAGTCATTCTCTTGGTCGTGAATTGGCCCTGGTAGCTCAAGGCTCTTGGTTTCCCTGATGTTTCTCATTCCTCCCTCCCTGACCTCCACCTCCCTGAGGGGCTGTGAAGGAGAATGAGATCATCACAGCTCCTGTAAAAGCGCATCCAAAAGGCCCTCAAATTTAGTCAAACACAAGCTGCCATTCTTCAGAGGAGGGTTGCAGGGGCTGTGAACGGGAGGTGATGATGGTCTGCCTCCTCAGAGCTGAGCCAAGGGGAAATGGGTTTTTGTGTGAGGAGAGAGTCTCATACAGAAAGACCGACCATTCTGATCAGCTTTCCGTGCATCAGGACATTGGCTGTCCCAAGAGGGCTAGGATCTCCTTTCAGGGAAACGTTCATACATTTATTTAGCAAATACGGGTTGACCACTGTTGTGTGCAAGGCCTTGGCCTGGCCCCACGGGACGTCCGGCTTGGCGTGTCCCTTCCAGGCTTCATCCCGAGAAAATCTACGGCAGCCCTGTGTTCTGTTCCCCCACAGGATGGAGGAAGTCAAGGGTTTCCAGGCTAAGCAGTTGGAGAAAACTGAGAAGTACGAGCAGGAGAATCGTGGGGGGTTCCGCCTGATTTATCCTACTCTGAATTCGGCGAAGTATGAGAAGTTTTTCCAGGACAACATCTCCCTCTTCCAGAATACTATTACCTCCAGGGCTCGGGAGGAGTATGCCCGGTAGGAAGGCTCCAGGCCAGGTGGATGGGTGTTGGGATGGGTTGGGTCATGCTTGACCTTCTGGGTGACTGGCCTAGGATGGTGAGGAGGGTCTCTGAGCTTCAATCCCCAACCTAGAAATTGTCAGGGGAGCATTTGCTTTAGTCTCACAGGGACCAGGAATCATAGGCATCGTTGATGTGGGGTGTTCAGTATGTAGCTGCTTCTAGAAACTCGCTCCTGAGACAGGAACCTGCACCCTCCTCCAGAATTCCCAGGGAGCTATCTCCTGGATTCACATAGACCCGAAATCTAAAAGCTGGAAGGCACTCATCCTGTCCTGTCCTATCCCTACCCATCACCTCATTTTATGGACGGGGAGGTCGGAGCACAGAAGGGGTCATAGAATGGTGATGACCAAAGAGGGATTGGGATCCCCGTCTTCTGACCCACGTGACTGTGTTATTCCCACTACATCATTGGCCAGAAAGGCCCAGGATATAAAGTGGCCCAACGTAGGGGCCCCTCGGGTTGGCCCCCTACCCAGACCCTCTTCCCAGCCCCGGCCACGTGTGGAATTTGGCCTGCTGGGAAGTGGAGAGAGAGAGAGAGAAGGTGGAGAAGGTGGGTAGAGGCCCTGACTATGTCCACTCCTTGGATGCTATTCCCCAGACTGGGAATGGTATGGTGGGAGGCACGGCTGTCCCCTCCCCTCCACCTCCTGCACGGGCCCCTGCAATCATCTGAGCAGACTGGACACCCAGGGGGATGACACTGCACTCTTTGCCAAGCATCAACGACCCCTCGGGGAGGGGTGGGGGAGCGCCCACTTTTGCAGCCCATCCCTAACCTCCGCGACCCTCCCTGTTCCACCTGGACAGGCAGCTGATCCAGGACCTGAGGCTGAAGCAGGAGAAAAAGTCCTTCCCAGTGAAGGAGAAGAAGGTGGAGATGCAGGGGGAGTCGGCCGGCGAGCAAGCGAGAGGCAGGAGGACGAGAAGCTGCCATCAGAAGCCCCAGCAGACGCCCCAGGCCGCCACCTTTACCTTCAAACAAGTAAACCCCGCTGGGAGGGGAGCGTGTGTGCCCGGCACCCTTCCCCGGCTGGGGCCGCTCCGTGGGGGGGTGCTCAGGAGACCGATGCTCAGAGCCCTGACGCACTGAACAAAGGGGGCTGATGGAGGGCCGGGCCACAGGAAGTCACAACAACCCGGGCATCCTTCAGAGGACTCTCGCTGCTCTATCCTCGTCTCCTCCGGCGGGAAGAAAAGCATCCGGGAGGCTGAGCATGATTCCCCGTGTAGGGAGCGGGCACTGGGACCATTCTACTCATGGGTCCCATGCCCAGTTTGGGCTAGAGTGCTCCCCTCTAGCAGGTCAGGTGTGCAGCTGAGAGAGGGGGCCGCAGAGAAGGGCTTCACGGAGGCAGGACCCTCACCTTTATGTGAGGTAAGGGACCACAGCTAGGGCCTTCCAGCCTGCTCTCTGCTCGAAGTGTGGACCAGCCCTGGACATGGCGGGGCGGGGGGGCAGCTGTCCCATTGTCCTACGGTCTGAATCTTTGGATTGACCTTCTCTGCCTCACTATTTCTTCTGGCTCAGGCGAAGGACTCAGCTGGCTTTTGGTCCATCTCCTTTTTCTCGAACCCTCACCTGAAGGGACAGGATGACAGCAGGATATTTTTAGTTTGGTTTTTTTTTTTTTTTTTTTTTTTCTTTTTTGTGACTTTGCTAGGGTCATAGGTCTTTTAAGAAACTGATAAAAAAATATGATACTCTCTTACCATAAAATATACAAAGATACAAAGTTCTAAAACTACAGGTTTAAGTGGCTCAAAGATCCTGTGAAACCGTCCATGAGCCCTCTAGGGGTCCCTGCACCCCAGGATAAGAACCTCAGATTAGAGAGACTTTGATACCGATTGCTTTCCTTCTCCTCCTCCTCTCCTCGGCACCTACCCTTGGTGCAGATAAATCTGGAAGTGGACAGAGCTGGGTTCCCACGGGCTGTGTTTGGTTTCCTCCTTCCCAGCATCTCCAGCCAATGACACTGGTATCCTGCACACCGGACTTCTTCCTGAGTGTCAGAGATGCAAAGACAAATGAGACAGACAGCAGCCTCGACCCGGAAGAGGCCAGCCCTCCTCCTTGCAAGCCTGTAGCTGCAAGGCGTTACACATCTGTACCTGACCTGAGCCACTCGAATCTTCTCAGCTGCCCGGGGCTGGAGCTCAGTCAACCCATCTCCAGAATCGAGGAAGTCAAATCTGCCTCTGTGGTGAACATATTTCCCAGCACAGGGGTGAGTAGAGCGGTCTACCTCCCCAGAGAGCTCTGCTTACTCAGGGGGCAGTGGTAGGAGTCTTGCTTTCTGGTCCCTTCTATCTTCCTGACTTGCGGTCTCCCTTTGAGCAAGCCACTTAAGCCTCAGTGTCCCCACCTGGGAAGCCCAAGTTGTGTGAGAGCGTACGTGCTAGGAGAATGGACCCATACTTTTAGGGCTTTTCCAGTGGCCGCCTTCTGCACCCCATCTTTAGGCATGTTCTCACCTCTGGCTGCTGGAGCAAATCACCACAGACTTGGGGGCTTAAAACAACACATTTATTCATTCACAGTTCTGGAGGCTAGAAGTCTGAAAACAAGGTGTTGGTGGGGCCGTGCCTCATCCGAAGGCTCTAGAGGGAGGATCCTTCTTTTCCTTCCTTGATTCTTGCTAAATTCTGGTGGCTGCCAACAATCCTTGGCGCTCCTTGGCTTGTGGCACTGGGACTCCAGTGGAACTCGTTGAGTGTCTCTTCTATAGGTCTTCATGTGACCTTCCTGTAAGCACACCACCAGTCATTGGACTGAGGGCTCCCCCGGATCCAATATGACCTCACTTTCACCTGCTTTGTGATATCTGCAAAGATGCTGTTTCCAAATAAGGTCACAGTCTGAGCTTTGTGGCAGTGTTGAACCTAGTTCATCCCCTTACACAGTGTTTCTCAAACTCCATTCGTGTATGGACACCTGTTGAAGGAGAGAACACTCTTTCAGATCTCCACTGTAGCCCTAAATAACTTTTATAGATATTTACAAGCAGAAAACCAGATGTATACAATCTTTATAACTCTTCTACAATGAGGAAATCAAAACAAACATCACCCATAAAGTTCACATCAAGAACATTAATTGAATGTGACAGTTGATTTTCTATTTTTGTGGATACTAGGGTGCCGCATAAATGTGGTCCTGACAGCTCTAGAATGGATCCTTTTGTGTTTACTGTAGTCAGGCTATGTGATGACTGTGTTGTAAGTACTAGAAAATGTTCAGCCTTGCTGGGCCATTGCCAGGCCCAAGTGTAACACGGAGGAATGCAATGCTTTTCAAGTTCTTAACCATAGCCCGCAGTAGAAATCTGTTTCATTTCATCCGTCCATACACACACACTGGAAAAAAACTTCTAAAACAACGATGAGCCATACTACAGATGGTGACTCCTTCGATATTTTTTATTCTGTTCTTTTCTGTTCTTTCAAAAATACCAGTTCCTGGGGCACCTGGGTGGCTAAGTTGGCTAAGCCTCTGCCTTCAGCTCAGATCATGATTCCAGGGTCCTGGGATCCAGCCCCATGTTGGGTTCCCAGTTCAATGGGAAGTCTGCTTCTCCGTCTCTCCCTGCTTGTGTTCTCTCTGTCTCTCTCTCTCTCTCAAATGAATAAATAAAATCTTTAAAATAAATAAATAAAAATACCTGTTACAACCCACTAGATTAATTTCATGACTTATTAATAGGTTTACAACCACCATTCGATAAACACCTTTAAGAGATTACGCTTTGAAGCTTCATGACACTGGATTTCACAGATAGGACACCAAAAGCAGGGCTGCCTGCCTGACTCAGTCAGAAGACCGTGTGGCTCTTGATTTCAGGGTTGTGAGTTCAAGCCCCATGTTGCATATAGAGATTACTTAAATTTATTTAAGTAATTTATCATTATTAAGTATTTAAGTATTTATTATACTTAAATAATAAATAATAAAGAAGGAAACAGAACTTAAAAAAAAAAAGCAAAAGTAGGTAAGTGGGACTATATCAAACTTGAACAGTCAACAGAGTGAAAAGGCAACCTGTGAAATGGGAGAAAATATTTTCAAACTATGTCTCTGATAAGGGGTTCGTATCCAGAATATATAAAAGATTCTTACAACTCACACCAAAGATAACCTGATTTTAAAAATGGCCGAAGGATTTACGGGTGGCCCGTTTGGTTGCCTGACTCTTGGTTTCCACTCAGGTTGTGATCTTGGGGTCGTGGGGTCAAGTCCCCCATTGGGCTCTGCCCTCAGTGTGGAGTCTGTTTGAGATTCTTTCCCGGTCTCCCTCTGCCCATCCTCCTGCTCTTTCTCAAATAAATAAATAAATAAATAAATAAATCTTTAAAAACCTGAGGGTCACCTGGGTAGCTCAGTTGGTTAAACATCTGACTCTTGGTTTTAGCTCAGGTCCTAGCTCATGGGTGTGGGATCGAGCCCCAGGTCAGGCTCCCTACTCAGCAGGGAGTCTCCCTGGAGGTCTGTTGCACAGTGATGGGGATATTACTGATGCTACTTATTGTATACTTAAAAATGGTTAAGGTAGGGGCACCTGGGTGGCTCAGTGGGTTAAGCCTCTGCCTTTGGCTCAGGTCATGATCTCAGGGTCCTGGTCGAGCCCCGTATCGGGCTCTCTGCTCGGCAGGGAGCCTGCTTCCCCCTCTCTCTCTGCCTGCCTCTCTGCCTACTTATGATCTCTGTCTGTCAAATAAATAAATAAAATCTTTTTTTAAAAAAAGTGGTTAAGTAGATGGGGCACCTCAGTGGCTCAGTTGTTAAGCGTCTGCCTTCAGCTCAGGTCATGATCCCAGGGTCCTGCTCAGTGGGAAGCCTGCTTCTCCCTCTCCCACTCCCCCTGCTTGTGTTCCCTCTCTCACTGTGTCTCTCTCTGTCAAATAAATAAAATCTTATGTCATATGTATGCATGTGCATTTTTTCCTGCAATAAAGAAAAAAAAAAGAAAAGAGTAAAGAGTATGCATTGATCTGATTGTCTCTATTTGGATCCTGGAGTCTCCTCTATGACTTGTGTCTAGTCACTCTTCTCTCCCTAAGCCTCAGTTTCCTCAACTGAGAAAACTGGAATTTGGGCACCTGGGTGGCTCAGCGGGTTAAGCGTCTGACTTCAGCGTAGGTCACGATTTCAGGATCCTGGGATCCAGCCCCCTGTCTGCAGGCTCTGTGCTCAGCAGGGAGTCTTCTCCCCCCACCCCACCCCGCCCCTCCTCCCGCTCTTACACTCTCTCTGTCTCTGTCTCTCTCTCATTCTCTCAAATAAATAAATAAAATCTTTTAAAAATGGGATTTTAATAATAGTACCTGCCAGTGGGTTGCTTTGAGGCTCAAATGGAAGAATACATGAAAATGTAGAGGTGGCACCTGCCACAAAGGGTTCAGAAAGCATTAGCTGCTATTTTAATATTACTGCGACTTCTTAAGACTGTCTTTGTTCTTCTCTCATTAATCTAAGTGTAAAGTAGTATTACTTAACTCCAAAGAGATCTTTTAAAATAAGCAATTTTTTTATATTTCATGTGCGTATTGTTAATTTAATAAAAAGCCCTGCTTCATTCAAAGACTTTACATCTTTCATTTATTTATATTTCCTTCTTATCTCTATGCTCACCTCCCATTCTCCTATCTACCATCTTTTGTTAATATGTTTCCTGGCAAAGTAGGGATTTAAAAAAAAAATACATGCATTTAAACTTTATTTAAATGTGATTGGGTCGGGCGCCTGGGTGGCTCAGTGGGTTAAGCCGCTGCCTTCGGCTCAGGTCATGATCTCAGGGTTCTGGGATCGAGTCCCGCATGGGGCTCTCTGCGCAGCAGGGAGCCTGCTTCCCTCTCTCTCTCTCTCTGCCTGCCTCTGTCTACTGTGATATCTCTCTGTCAAATAAATAAATAAAATCTTTAAAAAAAATGTGATTGGGTCATTTATCTCATTCTGTGACCTTTTTCTTGTTGAGCCTGTTTTTCTTTTTTTTTTTTAAGATTAAATTTACATGCCTTGAAATGCTCAAATCTTTTCTTTTTTAATATTTTATTTATTTATTTGACAGACAGAGATCACAAGTCGGCAGAGAGGCAGGCTCCCTGATGAGCAGAGAGCCCGATGTGGGGCTCGATCCCAGGACCCTGAGATCATGACCTGAGCCAAAGGCAGAGGCAGAGGCTTAACCCACTGAGCCACCCAGGCACTCCATCAAATCTTTTTTTAAAAGACGTTTTTATTTATTTTAGAAAGAGAGAGCACACATGCACACAGAGGGTGGGGCAGAGAGAGAGAGAGAGAATCTCAGGCAGATGCTTGTGTTCCCTCTCTCTATGAAATAAATAAATAAAATCTTTAAATAAAAAATAAATAATTTTGAAAAATAAAATTTCTCTATTGTTTAAAAAAAAAATCCCCCAAAAACAAAAAACCAGAGGAAGCTCTATGGACATCCGCCATCCTCTGCCCTAGTGTTCAGCCAATTCCTGGTAACAAAAGTATTCTAACCTAATCTTTCTTGCTGCTGATGAACTTGGCCTCCTTAGTCTGTTTATTTAAATCAAGAAGGTATGGGAAGGCGTGTCAGGCTTCCACAATCTCACGTTGGACTGTTTTCTCTTCCAGCCCTTAGCCTCCATAGAAACGTGCCCAGCTCCTGCCACTCAGGTCTCAGACTCCCCAGAGCCTCTGCCTGGTGGGACTGGGACAACCAGCTCTGGCTGCGGTAGCCCCAAGATGAACAAGATGGTCTTTAAATACAAGGTGCATCACTTCCCGCAAGACCTCATCCAGGGGAAAATATCCAAAATTTGCCTTCCAGCAAAATCCCAGAGCTTCTCACGAGGTCTGAAGCCAAGCTGGTCGGCGCTGGAGAATGAGACTCAGAAGAAGCCCCTGCTGTCGGAGCTCTTCACCAAAGTCCCACTGCGGGAGAAGCTCTCCCTGTTCCCAGCTTGCTACAGCCCAAAGCTGGGGCCGAGTCACAAGTCACGTGAGTGCCAGCCCAGCCAGGCGGGTGCCAAGAGCTTAGGGGTTCCCAACAGGACCAGTCCTTGTCTTTGAGGAGCACCCAGTCTGGGGTGGCGGTGTGGGTATACAGCCTTAGGAAGACACCCCCTTCCCCGCCTGGTGGGGGAGACATCATTCACATTCTTAGGGAGTCTCTGGTCTTACTGAAATTACAAAAAAAGGTAAAAACAGACTGCTTTTGGCAAGCTCCCTGTCTGACGATTCCTGATTCCTGGTTGTCATTGAGGTGAGGGGCATTTGGTGAGTCGGAATCAGCGGAAGGCACGAAGTAGGGAAACAGGGAAGAGAAGCTTCTGGCAGGAGAGGAGCAGAGGCTGATTCTGAATCAGGAACTTGAGCTGGCTTGAAGCCAGGGAACCCCAGCGGGAGGTGGCCTCCGCGGGCCATGTGCACCTCGCCCAGCCTTACAAATGGGTGATGCCAATGATTTCGCCTTTCCAGAAAACCGCTGCCTGCCCTGGGAGTGCTGCTTCAGCAGCCGAAGCTCTGGCAAGAAGAGGCAGCTGCGTCTGTCCTCCCTCCTGCTCCTGCACAGTCCTCCCAGCCACGAAATGACCCTCAGCGACCTGCTGGTGGTCGCCACCCCAGCCCGACTGGATCCGAGGCCTGGCAAGAGCCACAGCAGCACCGCAAGAGACCCATGTCAGGAAGCCTACAGCCGCAACCTGGTCTCTGGCCAAAAAGGATGTGAGAGGGACTAGGTGGGTCTACCTGTATTCCCTTCATGGGCTTGTTTCCCTGGCAAGCACCGCAGGTGTGTATTTCTGGAACATCAGGGAGGTAGGAGGGTGCCTGGATTGATAAAAGACATCCAGGTAAGTAAACAGTTCAGACGGACCTCAATCAAAATGTGCCCCCCTCCCAGCCCCTTGCAATGTGTGATTCTGCTATGACCTCCCTCCCTCCTCCTACTAAAGCAAGCAGACTGTGACTGCCAGTTTGACCCAGCCCCCTTGTGACCGGTAGCTCACGCAGCAGGAGGGCAAAAAGGTAAACATCAGCCCATAGACATCACTTTGGTGCTTGTAAAAATGCATAAGTCCACAGCCTGCTTCCGGAAATTCTGATTCATTAGGTCCTGGGGGGTCCAGGAATCTGCATTTGAGGAGGTCTTCTACCATGATTCTGATGCCCTTCTCCCCACCTTCAGAGAAAAACTGGGCCTGGTGTTTCCCAAACTTCCCTGACAATATGAATCACAGTGAGGGGATGCTTGTTGAGCCTACAGTTTTCTGCGTCACAGCCCCTGAAAGTTCTGATGCAAGAGACTTGAGATGAGGCCCTGGGAATCTGTCTCTCGAATAAGCATCTCAGGTGTGGTAGGGAGGATTGTCCTGCATCTAGACCCAGGCCTGGGCAGAGGAACCTGTGACAGTCATGCCTGACCTACTGGCCTGCCCTTAGGGAGCTCAAATCTACCCCTACTATCTTCGATTTGTAATCTTCCAGTACTAAAATTAAAAAAAAAATTTTTTTGAAGATTTATTTATTTTAGTGAGAAAGAGAGTTAAAAACCAGAGTCGAAGGCTTACCTGACTGTGCCACCCAGTTGTCCCCATAGTGGCACTTAAGGGATTGGTGACTCAACACCAGGTTTGGGTCATAGTAAGCTAGAAACAAGAGCTTCTCACTTACTTGAACCCCTGACATCAGGTGCCCCTCTTTTTGAGATGGAATTCTTTTTTTCTTTTTTTCTTTTTAACTTATTTTATTTAAATTCAATTAGTTGACATACAGTGTATTGTCAGTTTCAGATGTGGAGATAAGTTACTCATCTGTTGCGTACAACACCCAGTACTCATTACATCATGTCTGTGTCATTCTTCAGCAAAGTCCAGCTTGGGTTCAGGCACCCTGAGAGACTCTGGGATTTTGTTGGCAGAGAAGTTTTTGATATTTTCTCCTAAGTGAGTAAAAGTAAGTTCAAAAGGAAAGTTAAATAGGTAGATAGTTCTGTAGGAGAGACTTGTTTCTCTGGCTCTAATTTCTAAGAGCAGTTTGTCACACGGAGTCTTCTGTTATAGACTTTTACTACCATGGTGGACAGTGGCTGAAGGCAGTAACTTTTTAATGAATATTAATGATGGTAATAGTTACCCCTTTTTTTGGGAGCCTACCATAGAGGTGCCAGAACACTTCTACGTATATTTTTTATCTAATTTCATTCCAATCACATCGTGCCTTTTAGAAAATAAAAAAAAATTGAGGCTCAAAAAGCATTAACGCCTAACTTTTGGGAGGTCCCATAGCTTATTGGTGACAGAGCAAGGATTTGAGTCACATGGTTCTGATGTCCAAACCATACCATCTTTCTTTCCAATGGTGTTTGTAATAGTCTTCAGTTTGAGTTAAGGTCGTAGTAAATAGCTCTTCTATTTCTGCAGGTAGCCAGGGTAGCCAAGACCAGGCAGGACCTCTTAGCATGTTGTATGGGGTCACCAGATATCAGAGCTGGCCCTCTGCTCTTATGTCAAATGACGGCGTCTAAAAATCCCTAATTAATCAGTCCACAAAGGACTGACACATACAAGGCAAACTCATAAAATCTGGTTATATACAGGGCAATGCCCAGCTATCGATGCATTGATGTACAAATGAAAGATGATGTGGCATAAGAATAGGGCTTTGGCATAATGACTAATGGTTGAACGAAAGAAAGAGGAAAGGTCCAAATTGTGGATCAGGGGCTCTCCCGGTTGCTGTAATACCTTCCACACATCAAGGAGAGGTACCATGTCTCATGCAATCCTCAGGTCAATATTGTGAGGTTGACAAGAAGACGTTATGATTTATCCTCAATTTGCAGAGGAAGAGAATCAGGGTTTGGGGGATAGTAAATGACTCCCCCAACCTCATAGAAGTAATGGGTTCTGGACAAAAGAACATGATGTTTCTTCCATCTTGCCCCATGTGAGGACGGGAGGCCTGACACATTCCTCCATGTTTTTCCTTAAATCACTATAATCTCTCATCATCCTTCCTCTGGATCCACTTTCACAGTAGGTTGGTCAACAAGCCTCGGATTCCAGATCTGTCAACAATTGAGTTTTAGGGGACAAATAGCGCATTTTGTAGATTTTAAGATGATTAAAAGCTTGCCAAAGCGGGATGCCTGGCACCTGAGTGAGTTGGCTGCACTGGTGAGGATGACCCATGAGCATGATGATGGTGGTGAGGCCACGTTGATGGTGATGAGCCCAGCAGGGACTGAAGCAAGACACACTTGCTTTCGGTGGACTAAAGGCTTTGCCTCCCTTCTCTCAGTCCTCAAAGCAACTCTGTGTGGTGAGTGCTATTGTCATTCTCTTTTTTCAAAAGAGAAAACCAAGGGTGAGAGAGGTTAAGTAACTTGCACAAGGTCATTGAGAGATCCTACACTCACGCACTTAACCGCTACCACTTCTTGTCTCTGTCCAGCCATCTTGGCCGCTCTTGAATGGTCCATACCATAGCATCTGGCTCTAGAAGGATGCAGGAAGGTGAATGGCACATAGGTAAAATGAGTTTCTGGTGACTGTGGATGTGGATCTAGTAGTGTCTCCTGACCTACTAGACAGGATGGTGATGAGAGTTAATTGGCTTGAATATTCTAAAGGCCATTTTAAAGGAAATGCTAAGGAAAAAAATTTTTTTTTCTTTTCAGAATCAGACTGGATCTCTGTCATTTTTCCCTCTTTCCATCTCTTACGCCCAGGAAATAATTTATCGTTTCTTAAAGTGTCTACAATGTCCATAGAGTCAACTGAAAGTTTTATTTCCTCGTCTAGATATCCTGGTCTTATAACAACTTCCCATTAACACCATGGGGCCAACAGCCTTGTCTTCTGTGCCCTCCCAGTTAGCTTCCAGTACTGTAGGACCGTGACCTCTGAAACATATTGGTTCTGCCCCAGGACACAGCCCAGTTGCCCCACCAGTAGCATTCCTATGGGTCCCTCAGATGGCCCCATCATCCAGAACACTCCCCCACCCCAACCCCAGATAGAGCAGTGTGAAAGGAGGAGTGTTTCAGAGAAGGACTCAAAGTTTCCAGGAATCCGAAGCCCTCAGTCTACCAACAGGTCTGCGTCACTTGGTTTTCGACCCCAAAGAGAAAAGACAGAGAAAGGGTGAGGCATGTTGGAGGATTCTGAGCCCTGAGTAAGGGAATTGGTGCAGATGTAATTTTACCAGGTACAGACCAGACCTCCTCCCACTTGAGCCACCTCAATGCCTAATACCTTCCTGCTACCTCCCTTACCAGTCCACATCCACATCAATCTTTCTGATGAAGAAGTGAGGTGAGAGTTACCCAGCCTGCAGGTGTTTTTATATCAACTTGCAGAAATGATACATCTTCCCCTGAAGTGTACACTAATAAAATAAATTGTCATGCTCGATGCTGGGATGCTGAGCCTGATCCAGAGTAAGAATGGGAAGGGGGAAGCAGGAGAGAGAGTTCTCCTGAGTTCTTCTCATTAAGAAAGGTCCAAATTCGCCAAAAACATGTTGGGAGCACTTGAAGAATTTCTTTGGATGAATGGTAAGCCTTGCCCTCCTTGTTGGGAGCCTGGTGTCTAGGGGACCCCTTTGGGAGCCCTGTGGTTGCCATGTGTCTGCCCAACATCAACCTTGGCTAGACTCCAGGCATAACATTTCATTTTGCCATTTTGTTCATGCCATTTCATTTGGTTCATTCTCTACCCTCTCCAAGAATGTGATCCAAGACTTTGCCTCACTTGCTCTTTCAGAATTAGATCCCAGAAATGAGCTTTGGAGGAGGAGTACAGGGCAGGGGTGGAAGAAAGTTGATGTCTGAAGTCAAGAATCTGCTTCACAATGTTGACCCAGATTTGCTTTATGAAGTCCTGATGGGATGACTTTCTGGCCTCAAGGATGTCAGGGGATTCTGGGATACTTGAAGCCCTCAGTACTCCTCAGTTATCCAAAGTAGTGGATGGAGTAGTGAATGGAGAAGCCTTTTGTGTCCAGTTGTGAAGCACATATACACACAACACCTTAAGGCCTGGTTTTCAAGGACTCCTGGTGTAGACTTCTTCTTGTAATTAAGTCAAGTCTCACCTGGATGGCAAAAAAAAGGAAGCCCTGATTACAACTAGGGAGACTACTAAAAAATTAACTGGGCCACTTGGCTGGCTCAGTCGGTGGAGCATGTGACTCTTGATCTCGGGGTTGTGAGTTTGAGCCCCATGTTGGGCATAGAGATGACTTTAAAAAAATTAACCCAGGGTGCCTGGGTGGCTCAGTGGGTTAAGCCTCTGCCTTCGGCTCAGGTCATGATCCCAGGGTCCTGGGATCGAGCTCCGCATCAGGCTCTCTGCTCAGCAGGGAGCCTGCTTCCTTTTCTCTCTCTGTCTGCTTCTCTACCTACTTGTGATCTCTGTCTGTCAAATGAATAAATAAAATCTTTTTTTAAAAAAGCTGTTAAAAAAAATTAAAAAATTAAAAAAAAAATTAACCCTCCCTTTGCCAGCCCTTCCCAATGCCATTTAGGAGCCTCCAAATGAAATGATTCAAGGCCAATTTTTCCATTGTCATTATCAGGTTGCCACAGATTATAGTCTGGACCACACAAAAGCTGTAAGACTTGCTGAAATGGGGCTTTCTAGAACCTCTGCATCTCTCCCTTTTTCTCCCTAGTCACCAGCCCCAGCCAGTCAAGGTTCCTAAGCTGATAAAAAGGAAGTCTTTTAATAAGATGAAGTCAGGGGCGCCTGGGTGGCTCAGTGGGTTAAAGCTTCTGCCTTCGGCTCAGGTCATGATCCCAGGGTCCTTGGATCGAGCCCCGTGTTGGGCTTTCTGCTCTGCAGGGAGCCTGCTTCCTCCCCTCTCTCTCTCTCTGCCTGTCTCTCTGCCTGCTTGTGATATCTCTCTCTCTGTCAAATAAATAAAAAATCTTGAGAAAAAAAAT